TGGATTGGATGGATATGTATGCATCTACCACTTCTTAGACTCTTTTATGTGCTTTTTCTTAATGAACTTATTACTGGACATGTTGGCAGCAGCTTTTTTTTTTTTTTTTCTATCAACTTTGCTTAATCTAGACATATATGATAGTTGTAATTTATGCTTTTATTTTTTATAAACCTTTTTTTGGATTTGCTGGATTTATATGGCAGTTTATGCCTTTTTTCTTTATGAAATATGAACTTGTTGCTGGCTTACTTGTTGGACTTGCTTGACAATGATATGTATATATTGCCTGTGTTATTATGTATATTTACTACTTGTTTATCTTGTTTTAAAAGAGTGATCTTGATCATCTTTGTTTGCTATCTAGGATTTTGTAAAATTGCTATTTTCTTTTGGAATTTTGATTAACAAGTAGTGAAACAGGTGGTAGTTTTATTTGGCGGGGACTCTGAATACCCGCAGGGACCTATTATTCCCCGCGGGGATGGGGACGGAGGCAATTTTTGACCCTTCGCCAAAATTCCCCGTGGGGATCTCCATACCTACCATTGACGGGGATGGGAAGGGGGTCCCCACCCCCGTGAGGACCCGTTGCCATCCCTAGTTTTGAAGAACTTTGATTAGCTTTACACAACTTACACGGAACGTAATTTAGAAGATATTGACTTTTTATTTTTAAAATTAGGTAAGAATTAACTTATATTAAATTTCAAGAATTAAATAAAGCACTTTGGTGCATTTGGGCCTTCAGTCTAGTGGCGTTAGTCCACATATAAGTGCATTCCCTCATTCCCTAGAGCAACGGTTCGAATCTGACCCTTTACAAATTTGTTCAAACAAAAAAAAAAGGTTAAAACCCCTTTTTGGTCCCTCAACTATTGTACGGACCCCCGATTTGGTCCCTGAACTCAAAAAATCCCTGATTTGGTCCCTACTGTTTACCATTTTTCCCCCGATTTGGTCCTTCCGTTAAAAATTCAATGATGTGTCTAGTTAACTAACGGAAAATGATGACATGTCAAAATATTATTACAGATCAATACCATGTCATTAAAACACGTCAGATTTCAGCCAACAAAAAAAAATGTGGGGCCCACCTCCTGCAAAAATCACTATCTTCTCTCCTTCTTCCCATTCATACCTTGGGTTCTTTGAACCCCAAGTGCTGGGTTCCCTCGAACCCGCGCCTGGGTTCCTTCAAGAACCCAGCTGCTGGGTTCTTCAAGGAACCCAGGCGTGGGTTTGAGGGAACCCAACGCCTGGGGTTCGAACAACAATTCATCATCATCATCAAACAACACCCACAAAAATAAAGAAATTATTTATTTATTTTTTTGTTGAAGAAGCCAGAGCCTGCTGGGTTCTTCAAACCCAGGCTTGCATTCGAACCCAGGCGCGGGTTCGAAGAACCCAAGCCTGCTGGATTCTTCAAACCCACGCTTGGGTTCTTCGAACCCAGGCGCTGGGTTCCCTGGAACCCGCGCCTAGGTTCCTTTGAAGAACCCAAGCGTGGGTTCTTCGAACCCCAGGCGCTGGGTTTCCCTCGAACCTGCGCCTGGGGTTCAAAGAACCCAGGGTGTGAATGGGAAAAAGGAGAGAAGATAGTGATTTTTACAGGAGGTGGGCCCCACATTTTTTTTTGTTGGCTGAAATTTGACGTGTTTTAATGACATGGTATTGATCTGTAATAATATTTTGACATGTCATCATTTTTCGTTAGTTAACTGGACACATCGTTGAATTTTTAACGGAAGGACCAAATTGAGGTAAAAATGGTAAATAGTAGGGACCAAATCAGGGATTTTTTGAGTTCAGGGACCAAATCGAGGGTCCGTACAATAGTTGAGGGACCCAAAAGGGATTTTAACCAAAAAAAAAATAAAGCACTTTGGTTACCATATTTATCTCTAAAATTCAATCAAATGAATGATTGAAATTTTATGTATTAATTATTTCAACATATAATTTTTTAACCCTATTCTTATCAGATCACGAGGTGTAAATACCTTTGAGGTATGCACCATTCAAAACTACTAGTAGGTAGACAAAATGCAAGTTTTCCTAAAATAAAATAAAGAAAAAATGATTTACATGACAGGAATGGTTTGGTTTCAAGGTATATTCTATGAAATATGTGTGTGCGTGTATGTTTTTTTTTTTTTTGGAAGTATATTCAATGAAATCGGATCATACCAAAACATGTTTCACGCGTGAAGCATTACAGGACAATAAAACTTTTCTAGGACAGGTACTTAGGTTTTGTGAACCATAGAATAGTAGAGAATAATGTCCGCTAGATATGCATAGATATCTTTTTTTTCCAGTCAGAAATTAATATTGTGTAGATCAACTTTTCAATAAAAATCTTCTCTGCTGTTGGAAAAAAATGAAAATGGTCTTTCAATCCTTATACTGACATAATCGGTCCAAAAAATCCAAACACTAATATACTCCATTAGTTCAAACAAAAGGGTCTTGAACTGGCATTAGTCCAATCCATTCCGAGCAGTCCAGTCTTCAATGTCCAAGTCCAAGACCAGTAAGAGAACCCCATTTCATTTTTCTTGGAAATCTGATGCCAATCGGCTATGGCCCTGGTTCCATTTTTTTTTCTTCAAAAAAAGGGGGTATCAAGATGGACTAGTCTTAAATATATATACTTGCAAATCTTTTTTTTTTTTTTTTTGGTGGAATACTTACAAATCGTTTGGTCCACGGGACTCTAACAAAGGTTCATCCAAGGATTAACCTGGGGGCATTGGATTTCATTGTGACAACTTTTATCAGAATAATTTCAATGTCTAAATTGTTCATCTTTTATGGCAATTTCAATAAATACACGATGGTATTTTGTTATTTTACTCTTTTCTCATATGGAGCTCATAACAAAAGTTTGTAGGGCCTGCATTAAAAATAAAACTTTGAGTACTTAAATAAATAAATAGGTTGATATTTTAAGGTTCTTAGTTTATTAAAAGAAATTATCAATCTAAATAGAGAAAAGTACAAAAATATTGTCAGTATTAGTAAATTTTTATGTATCTTTCATTTATTAAGATATAATCCTTTTTAATCTTATATTGATAATTTTTTTACGGTTTCATATATAGAAATTTTATAAATATAAAAAATTCTTAGTAATTTAATTGATTACCAAAAATTAATATTTACCAATCCAGACTGAGTTTCTACATTCCCAATTGATTATGGCTACATTTTTTTATTAAAATTAACTATTAATATAATTTTTTGCCAGTCTGAAGTTGATTTCTTTATGTTTGGTAAGAGTGGCACTACAAGTTCAAGGCAAGAGCCGTGATAAGCTTTGCAAATTGCACAAAATTATTGACCCAGCAAACCATTCTTGACCAACTATTTAAACTAGACAATAGACATGCATGACTTTCTCCATGTGTAGTATTTTATTCCTATTTTCAGCAACCATTACCTACCCTGTTGTTATATATATTTCTGCCGTGCAAAATTCTAACATCTGCAGAGTACCTTCTCTTATCAAACCATGGCCATGCTTAGAGCTTTGAGCGTGAGAAATCACCGGAGGTATGAACGGTTAGAACAGCCAATTGATGACCCTGAGGTTAGCCTTTTGGGAAGCAAGTTGCCGAGGACCACAAGTGTTCCAGCTCAATTTTTGTCAAGAAAATTAACACCGGCGTCAGCCATGCCATCCAATTCCCAGGCAAAGTCTACCAAAAAGAGCAAGAGTCATCCGCTTTTCAGCCTCTTTAACGGCCGCCGGCATAGAAGGAAAACAACGGCTAAACCAGAATTTGCAAGGTATTTAGAGTATGTAAAGGAGGGAGCTGTATGGGATCGGAGTTCAAATATGCCCGTCATATACTACAAATGAAACTACTTTTGGAATCAATAATTTCATTCTTTACTGTATTTTTTTTCTCAACTTCCCGAATCTTGTAAACCAAGTTCTATGTCAATTCAAGTTTCATTAAAGATTTGATTAAATTTTGCAAAT